CCGGGGGGAAATTCGTCCCCCCACGTCTCCACGCTGGCCTTCTCCCAGAGAGCCCAACGCTCCCTGGACTAGCTTCTAACTAGGTGAGCACACACTCGTGACTCTGCCCACTGCTAGCTGTGAGGCTAGAAACGTCACCACATCTTCCCGAGTCTCAGGATGCTCCTCTGAAAATTGGGCTGCTGGGGGGTCAACCTCATAGCACTGCTGTGGAGACAAGCCATGGCAGGTCTAACCTGTTCCCTGGCTCTGCAGACAGGGTAGCTGGACATGCGGCGGTTGTTAGTGGCAATTTTTTCACTCTGTCCCACGGAAAGAACTCTGACACACCCATCAGCGGCCTGTGGCATCGAAGGGTGGGAAAGCACATGGAAAGCAACCTGTTAAGCAGTGTGAGATTTCACCTAGTTGGTCCTGGTCCTTGGTGTAGCCACACTGGGGATTTCTGGGGAGAGCAGGGGCCCAGGCCCACTCAGATGTATGGTAGGATTCTGGTTGGAGTTTCTTTACTCGACAATGCGCATGCACTTTTGGAGACACTTAGCCTGACTCAACGAATGAAGCAGACACAATCCCTGGGCCTCAGTTCTGGGCAATGGGTCCAGCAGTCACGCTGTCCACCATTCGCAGGTCGTGTCCACCATCCATCAGGGCTGATGCCATCAGAGTGTTTTTTCCATCTGGTGGCACACCTGCTTACAATGACCGGGGTGACACACCGCAAGCCCAAGTCATAAAGTGAGTGGTCTCCGGGTCCAGAAGTAGGGCCCCCAGAGTCAGCATAGTGGGTACTGTGTTTGTTGGGGGGGGGAGGGGGTCGGTCCCTGGCACAACCCTAATCTTATACATCATCTGATTCCCAAGAAAGGCCTGAGCTCTGGAGTCTTCTATTCCAGGAGGACAGTTTCAAAGATGACAGTAGGTGGAGTCCCGGGCCTTGTAGACCCAGAGGGGACGCTGGGCTGAGTTGTCCCTCAGAGTCCCATCCCTCCCACAGACCCACCACGCTCTGCCTGCCCCTCTCCATATCCATCTCCCCTGACCACCCTGGTCAGGCTCAGAACAGAATTGTGGTGAGCAGGCTGCTCACAAGTCTGTCTCAGTCCTCAGCCCCGATGCCCAGGGTCTGGAGGGTGGGGCTGGGCAGTGTACTGGACCTTCAGGAGAGCTGCCAGTGGGAAGAAGAGTCTCACCCAGACTCCGTGTTGAACCTGCTGGATCCCACACCTGCTACAACCAGGACAGCCCTACAGGGGCCGGGGGTGGCATGGGGCTGTGCCCTGGGTGGGCAAGAGGGGCCTGCACAGAGGCTCCGATCTAAGCCAGTGTGCCATGGGAGGGCAGAGTGGAAGGAAAGACCACGACTCAGACTCTGCTGCCCACCTGCCTCTCCCCAGGGCCTTTGCTGCGATGGTGGGGACCTGGCTGGACCAGGTCCAGGGTTTGGGGCAGCCCCTCCCTTTCGCCTGTTTCGAGGCAGAGCAGGCCTTGGTGCGTGCCAACTCCCCAGCCTCACACCTGGTGGGCCACGCCCAAAATCTATGGTTGGAGCTGCAGCATCTTGAGCCCACCGAGGCAACTCCACAAAGTGAGGGGCACTGATCATCGGGGCAGATCATCTGGGGAGGGCAGGCTCACGGGCTGGAGTTCCCTTAAAGGCGGTGGCATCTTTCCTGTCTGCCCAAAGTCACAGGAAAGCCAGGTGTGTGAGTCAATCTGTCTCTTTCTCCTGCTCCAGGTCCACGCCCCGAGCTCCAGAGCTCTCCAGAGACGGAGGAAGGGCCTGCTCAGGGGCCAGAGCCTGGTCCTAGGAGAGGCCCTGCCCTGGCCTGGCCTGGCCCGAGGCAGTACCTCAAGCCATTATGGAGCCAGCTACTGGCTGTGCTGGAAGGCTTCTCTAGTGCTGTCAGAAGAGTTCTAGGCGATTATCTGAAATAATTAAGAGGAATACATCCCAACTCTATATTTTTAATAGTAAATAATGATAATTTTTAAAAGTACCTACCTATTTATGTAGACTATTTCCTATTAAGTTAAATACTCTTTTTGAATAAAAAAGTTGTTGATTAAAAACACATGTAGACCATGTCTACTCTTGTACCTATACGTAATACCATACACACACACACACACACACACACGTGTACAAATACGTGCTGACATGGAAGGATACTCACTGTATAATACAGTTTTAAAATAAGTTTTGAAACATTTAATTCTTTTCTGATAACTATGTATACACTGATAAAACGGGGAAATAAAATCTGGAAAAATATACACCAAAATGTTCACACTAGTGAACTGTCAGAAGTGAAACTACTAGAAGTGACAGTTTCCTCTCATTTTGCTTTATGTGTAGGTTCTGATTGACACAAGGATCATACCTCCAATGTATAGATAGGCAGTAGAGAGAGGAAGGGAGAGGCAGAGAAACATAGAGGAGAGGCGCATCAGCCGCCTCCTGCCCAACCCCGACATGGAATTGACCGCAAAACCCTGCCATGTGCCCTCCCTGGGAACTGATCCAGAAACCTTTCAGTGCAAGGGGAGATGCCCATCTACTGAGCCACATCAGCCGGGGTTAGACTCAATATATATGTTAGAAATACACTTTGATTGATTTCAGGGAGGGAGAAGGGGCGAGACAGAGACGTAAATGATGAGATTGAAGTATTGATCGGTTGCCTCCTTCACGACCCCTATTGGTGATCCAGTCTGCAACCCGGGCCTGTGCCCTGACCCGGAATCACACCAACTGTGCACTCCTGCCCGGTTGGACCACTGGGCGACACTGGCCAGACTCAATCAAACCTTTCTAAACTTTCCCAAGTGCCAATTTGCATCTTGAAATGTTCTCATGAAAGGAAAATTCACTTAATGGGGGGCATCCTAGTTCCCTCGCTGTTTAGCTGGATTTGCTATTTGGCCAGAAACAGCCACTAGACCAGCTCTTTACCATATTTAAAATCACTAGTGAGTGAAAGAGCATTGCTTTGGTTGCAACAGGAGTAACTCAAAACAACTCCCTCCACTAAACACTTCCTTAATCATTTCCCTTCCTCCATGAGCCCAGAATTTAACTCACCAGTCCAACTCAGCTTAGGAAGAGGCAATGGTTCCACTGGAACAGGACGGTCCAGAAACAAGGTACACAGCCCTGGTTCTACCGGAAGGGCCATAGTTCACTGACACCACCACTGCAACAATCTATAATTAAAATGAAAAGCATCATGTCAGAAAATTCTAAGCAGAAAAGGACAAAGGAATGCCACTGGTGAGTATTTCCAAAGGAGGCACGCTGTGCAAGAGGGATCCATTCAGTGCGGTGGCCCAACCATCCAAAGCTCATCGTTCTCATGTGAACACTCTTGCTCTGAGGGGAGACACATTTCCTTTCTTTCATTTCATATTTGCTTTCAAGGCAAACCAGCTGGTCAATACACCAAGACAACACTCCTCAGCTATCCAACAAGAGACACCTAAACATCTCAGTGAATTTTAAGTTTTACTAAATTTGAATGAATAAAAGTTTCATTTTAAAGTGACATGGGGCTGCCGGGCTTGTGTGGCTCAGTGCTTGAGCGTCGACCCCAGAACCAAGGGATCCCCGTTTCATTCCCAGTCAGGGCCAGTACTGGGGTTGCACACTAGGGGCTATGTGACCAAAGATGCTCTCTCATCATTGATGTTTCTCTCTCCCCTTCGCCAGCCTCCTCACTCCACCCCTTAGTCCCTAACGCCCCCGCTGTCTTTGTTCCCTTTCCCTTCCTCTCTCTGAGATCAATAAAAACATATACGTCTAACAAGTTATATGTGGATAATATAGACCCTATGAGACAGGGAACTTCAAGACACTAGGAAACCGTTGTGAAACAGTCATCCCTGAATGTCTGGACACCTTTCCTCCACAAGTCCACACAGAAGAAATGTACGGGGCCATTAGTGATCCCAGTAGAAACAGGAAGCTCACCAGAAATGGGAAGCTCACCATCCCACATGTCCCCACTGCTCTTCCCCCTCACCACCTCCTCCTGGGCTGAGGCACCTCCTTCAGGAGCAGTTTGACACAAAACTGCCCCATGTCCCTTGCAATTCGGCCTGTTCTGCCCAAGGTTCAAGCAAGAGTCTCATAGTTGATTTCTGAGACACTATTTTCCTCTCTGATATAAAGCACAAGAGCGAAGAGAGGACTTTTCTTCCTCTCGTTGATGCTGGGAGCTTACCCTGACATCATTGAGCAGCTGAATTCAATACTGGATCCACCTCCCTGTGCACTTGTTATATTGTGAGAAAGACAAATCCCTACTGTTAGCTTCATCACTAGTCTGCTGCCTATAATTCTCAGCTTGCACACTGAATGAGATCCTTAACACTCCTGAGGGTGGACAAGGTTGTAGCATTGCATGGTATTGCAAAAAACAACAACAACAACAACAACAACAAAAACGCAAACAAAAACAAAAAACTATGGGAGCAGAGAGCAGGACAGGGGAAAGATGGGAGGTGCCTGAAAGAACACCAGACTTCCACCGACTCTAGAGGTAGACTTGGGACACAGGGCATGGCACAGCTCTAAGCTGGGCTGGGAGGGTGTGATGCCAATCAGGATCTCAAAGTGTGACCACAGAGAAGGGGTGAGGGAGAGACACGACTGCCAAAGAAGCTAAGGTCAGATCATAGAGGGCCTGGACGGACACGCTAAGGATTAGGGACTCATTTCTAAAGGCCATAGGAGACCACTGTTAGTTTTCATAAGAGACATGATCATATTTACATTTTCAAAAGATCCTTCGGGCTGCCGGCAGAGAATGCTTAGGGACCCGGCGATACTAGAGGTTGACAGCTCACAGAGAACACATGGTATCAGGAGGCCCTGAAGTCAATGTGGCTTAGTACTCTGGGTGCTAAGCTGGATGGCTTCACACTAGAATCATTGTATGAGGAATGTCAAGGTTGAAATCTATCCCACTCATGCGACTTGACAGGTTGTGTCTAGAAGTTATAATAAAGTAGCACAATATGCCGTATCTTTTCTCAGACCAAGACACTCTCAGAGTAAAGTGGAGAACTTACCTAAACCAAGATTTACTAAAGTGTTAAGGAAAAGGGTGGGGACTCAGCTTCAAGACAGAACAGCAGGTGAGTGGCACAGACTGAGACGCACACACAGAGAGAAAGCAAGAGAGATGCTGAGAGGAAGGAAGGGACCTCAAGAACGAGAGCACAAGACAAGTGACAGGACCTGACACCCCATCAGCTGGGCTGTCCTATTTGTTGTTCAGAAGCCAGTTACTGAGCACTCAGCGGATACACAAGGATGTTCCCACCAGGAGGCTGGACTCCCTCGAAGCCACTGTCAAGGCCCCTAACGCTTGCACCCACATGAGGCACTTGTCCGAGGCTAAGTTTAACAAGAGACCACGGTGAGGTTTTAGGCCTGTGAGTGACCATATCTGAATTTCCTGACATTTCAAACCCTTAAAGGTACAGACTTGAAAATGAGGCCCACATGAGCAGTGACTTCCCTGAGATCACAGGCTGGGCCCAGGGCGCTTTTGTCTAGTGTTCCATGCTGTGTCCCACTCATTCTTGTCATCTTCCACCTCTATGTTTGCATACCAGATTCATGGGACACCAGCCCACAGCTGTTAGGGGCCTTGTCCCATCTGCACCTGATGACGTCCTATGGAAATGGTGTCTAGCATCATCCTCAATGGGCAACTTGGGAGCCTGGGGGAGGCCCTGTGAGGCACAGAGGCTTCCCCCAGTGCACACAACACCTAAGAAAAAGGAGGTGTGAACTGGGCTTTCTCCCCCAAACTGGGGGCCTCATTCTTCCCAGGGAGCTTGGGGGAAGGGCTGTGTTGGATGCTTGTATACAGGTATGGAGATAACATGGGCCCGGAAGGTGAGAGGTCAGGAGCCCAGAGGGGCCTCTGGGTGGCTCTGATTGGAGGAAGGGGCACAGGTCATGGAACCTTGAAGGGGTGACCTCACTTCCCTGGGGACAGATCCCCAACAGAAATGGGCACCCTGGTAACCAGGTACCCACATTCTAGAGACAACTGCCTTTCCAGGTCACTTGAGTGGAGAAAGTCAGACCACCAGGATGTCTTTCTGTTGCTTCCCGTTCTTCCTGCGCTCTGGGCAGAAGAAAGCCCAGAGTGAGAGATGTTTCTCTTGCTGCAGAAACAGGCGCAAGCGCCACCACCGATACCCCTCGCCCTCTGGCACGAGGCATACACAGGTAACCGAGGGCAGGCCCTTTCAGGTCACACTTGGGCGCCAACTGGGGGTCACACCTGGGGAGCCCCACACCTCTTACCCCTCATCCCGTTGGTGTGTGTGTGTGTGTGTGTGTGTGTGTGTGTGTGTGTCCCCGGAATGGTGAGGGGATGAGGGGAAAGCGGGGGATGAGGGATGCTCATCCGGGCTCAGGAGCAGGTTGGTAAGTGTCAGAAGCCTGGAGGGTGTAGGAGGGTGTGTCATGTTCACTGCCCAGGTCATGGCTCACAGGAAGGGAAGGTTAGTGGGAGGTCAGAGCTCAGCTACACACTTGTTAATCGCAGGGGTGCTCAAGGGGTCATCAACTTCACTCCCTGCCTGGAGGTCTTTGCAGATGGCCCTCTCTGCCTGATCTGGGGAGCAGAGTGGGTGGTGGGCATCTTCCCCATTGGTAATGCCCGGTCCCCTGATGCCTCCTGGCCCGGTAACCGGCTCTGTCTTTGCAGAGCTCCAACAAGGGCAGGGTAGAGGAGCTGGCGGACAGGTTCACTTATGCCCTCAACCGGTACAAAGGACAAGTGCGTCAGGACAGGGAAACCGTCCAGTGCCAAACTGAGGTGAGAGCTGGCCCACACCCAGGACCCTGAGGTGACTGGGGTGGGACCAGAAGTCAGACTCAAATCTGGGGCCTCAAATTTCTCACAGGCCCACTCCCAAAGTGATCTGTACCTTCAATCCTCCCGACCAGGTCCGTGGTAGGGGAGAAAAGCAGTCTTTCTTCCTGTGCTTGTTGGGATCAGAGGGAAAGCATTTGCTGCTGTCTTTGCCTCATGCTCCTTTCAATTGATGAACTCCCTGCCCCAAGTATCCTGTGGACCAGCCCCAGCCCGACTGTCCTTGTAGACCTTCTCCAAGTCTTACACATCATCCCACTTGATAATGCTGTGTACTTAAAAAAAAGAGAGAGAGTGGGGGGTAAGCAGGGGGGGGGGCGGTTAGGGGCGTAGGAAGGGATTAAGGTCTTGAATACTTTTCTCTGCAACCTATCACCTCACAGAGGATGACAAACCATTGCAGCGCGGCCAGGTAGGAGCTGTGGCCTTACCCAACTCCATATCATCCCAACGAAGGACAGAGTTTTCATCAGTGACTCAGGCTTTCACTGTGGCTACACCTTGACACAAATCAATTCTTGCTAGCTCAGCAGGGCTGCCAGGAACATCCTCCCCGTGTCCTCATAGACTAGGTCTGCCATGACACAGGACCACAGGTTGGGTGGAAGGTTCCTGATGCTTCCTGGCTCAGTACCCACTCTGTCTTTGCAGAGCTCCAAGGAGGACATCATTGAGGTGCTGGCCCATGGACCCGACTACACCACCTACGGGGTCAGGGTGCAGGTGCACCAGGCTGACGACACAGACCAGTGCCTGTCTGAGGTGAGAGCTGGCCTTGAGGGTCTCTACACCCACAACCCCAACACAACCTGGCAGTGCCCAGAACCCACACTCACATCTGGGGACTCCCCGGGCACCCTCCCAGGACTCTCTCTAGTGTCCCACAGCCCCAAGAGAAAGAAATGCTGACCCCCACGACTCCCTCCAGCTACATGGGACGGTAGAGAGACGCTCCTCACATATTTGTAGAAATATCAGAGAGAGAAATGTTGTTTGACTTCACAGTGGACCATGAGCACTTGGGCATTTCGCTGTTTGTGTTGCTAAAAACTACACTTGCCACGTATCCTCTGGAGCACTCAGCTCCACTGTCCTTGCAGACATGGTCCAATCGGGGAGGTCGTTTGACCAGTGATGCACCCTTTCAGTGTTGTTGGACATGGGCCTAATGCAGTTCATCTGCCATGTCAGCAGTGCTGCCCGGAACACTGATGTGTGTCGGAATGGACTGTGTCAGCTTGCTTGCATGGGCTGCCATAACCTAGGACCACACTGGGTGGTGTTAACAGCAGACATTCATTTTCTCACAATTCCTGATGCTAGAAGTGAGAGATGGTCCTGAGGGGGTCGCTCCTCAGCTTGTAGATGGCTGTCTTCTCTCTGTGTGTCACATGGACTCCCCTCTGCACTGCCACGTGTCCTCCCCTCCTCTTCTAAGGACACGGGTCAGATTAGATGAAGACCCACATCACTGAATTCAAGTCACCTGAGTGACTTGCTTGAAGACTAAAACTCAAATGCAGACATATCATAAAGTTCTAGGGCTTGCAAAGTCATGGGATTAGGGGCACACAATTCAGACCACAGTACATGTAATGTCCCCAGCTAGAGATGGACGCCCACTGCTGGTGGAAGGACGAGCACATGTAAAATTTTAAGGGCTGCAGGCAGATTCCAAACCCAAAGGGATGTGGCAGGGACCTTGCCAACAGCAGTTTCTGATGATGGCTGCTGCCTTGCTCCCAGCCTGGCCCGGAAATCTCACTCATTGAATTGACCTGGCCGACGTCAAGTTGTCCAATTCAAACACAGTGTTCCTTCCCTGGCCATGGCCTCATGGGGACACTGAGGCACCTGTCACTTTTCACCCACCACATGGATTAGCTCCTCCCCGAGTCCTCTGGTCTGATTCCTGCCCCGTGATCGCCTTTCTCCCATCTGCAGTGTCCAGGCATTTGCCACCTTGCAGAATCTGCGATCTCCATAATGAGGGTCTTCAAATGCCCTTTAATGTAAAAGGATAAAACATAACTTTCTCTTTTGAAGTCAAAGGCTTTCATAGGCCATGTCTACCCTGTACACTGTTCCCACGCTGGGGAGGGGAAATGTTCCCACACCCTTTCCACCCATGTCAGCATCAGGTAAGTCTCGGGTACCTGAGAGGGAATGTCATGCAGGACAGTACCCAGTTCTGACCTGCATGCCCTTGAGCAGACATCTGATATTTCCTAAGCAAGCCTCTGTGTTCTCATCTGTATAACGAGGACGTTTCTTGAGGACTCACAGGGCCCGGGCTCTGCATTTGGACTATTACTACTAGGAGGTTTGTTGATCCTCAGCTGTTGGGAAGGGGGGAAGAAAAAAACATGCCGAGAAGGTGGCAATTGTATGAACATGCACGGAAATTCAGTGGCACTTTGAAGACCTAGAACCTCGTCCGGCCGGGGCACTCCTGTCCCGCCTCTTGCACACGTGCCAGTGGGGCTGGGACCTCCCGAGTGAGCTCCAAACCTCCATCCTTGTGGGATTCACGGTCATGCCGCTGACATGGATGTCCTTCCTTCTCCCACCCAGTGTGCAGCTGAGCGAACTGGTAACCTGCATGAGTCCTGCAGGATGCAGGCCCTCCAGGAAGGCACCTCGGAGAAGGTGGCCATGGCCATGGGACCAGCTTTCCCGGGGGGAATCGTCCCCCACGTCTCCACGCTGGCCTTCTCCAGAGCCCAACACTTCCTGGACGAGCTTCTAACTAGGTGAGCACACACTCGTGACTCTGCCCACTGCTAGCTGTGAGGCTTGAAACGTCACCACATCTTCCCGAGTCTCAGGATGCTCCTCTGAAAAGTGGGCTGCTGGGGGGTCAACCTCATAGCACTGCTGTGGGGTCAAGCCATGGCAGGTCTCACCTGCTCCCTGGCTCTGCAGACAGGGTGGCTGGACATGCGGCGGTTGTTGGTGGCAATTTTTTCACTCTGTCCCAAGGAAAGAACTCTGACACACCCATCAGCGGCCTGTGGCATCGGAGGGTGGAAAAGCACATGGAAAGCAACCTGTTAAGCAGTGTGAGATTTCACCTAGCCGGTCCTGGTCCTTGGTGTAGCCACACTGGGGATTTCTGGGGAGAGCAGGGGCCCAGGCCCACTCAGATGTATGGCATGCTTCTCGTTGGAGTTTCTTTACTCGACAATGCGCATGCACTTTTGGAGACACTTAGCCTGACTCAACGAATGAAGCAGACACAATCCCTGGGCCTCAGTTCTGGGCAATGGGTCCAGCAGTCACGCTGTCCACCATTCGCAGGTCGTGTCCACCATCCATCAGGGCTGATGCCATCAGAGTGTTTTTTCCATCTGGAGGCACACCTGCTTACAATGACCTGGGTGACACACCGCAAGCCCAAGTCATAAAGTGAGTGGTCTCCGGGTCCAGAAGTAGGGCCCCCAGAGTCAGCATAGTGGGTACTGTGTTGGTGGGGGGGGGGTCCCTGGCACAACCCTAATCTTATACATCATCTGATTCCCAAGAAAGGCCTGAGCTCTGGAGTCTTCTATTCCAGGAGGACAGGAGTCAAAGACGACAGTGGGTGGGGTCCCGGGCCTTGTAGTACCAGAGGGAATGCTGGGCTGAGTTGTCCCTCAGAGTCCCCTCCCCCCCACAGACCCACCCCGCTCTGCCTGCCCCTCTCCATATGCATCTCCCCTGACCACCCTGGTGAGGCTCAGAACAGAATTGTGGTGAGCAGGCTGCTCACAAGTCTGTCTCAGTCCTCAGCCCCGATGCCCAGGGTCTGGAGGGTGGGGCTGGGCAGTGTACTGGACCTTCAGGAGAGCTGCCAGTGGGAAGAAGAGTCTCACCCAGACTCCGTGTTGAACCTGCTGGATCCCACACCTGCTACAACCAGGACAGCCCCACAGGGGCCGGGGGTGGCATGGGGCTGTGCCCTGGGTGGGTAAGGGGGGCCTGCACAGAGGCTCCGATCTAAGCCAGTGTGCCATGGGAGGGCAGAGTGAAAGGAAAGACCACGACTCAGACTCTGCTGCCCACCTGCCTCTCCCCAGGGCCTTTGCTGTGATGGTGGAGACCTGGCTGGACCAGGTCCAGGGTTTGGGGCAGCCCCTCCCTTTCGCCTGTTTCGAGGCAGAGCAGGCCTTGGTGCCCGTCAGCTCCCCTGCCTCACACCTGGTGGGCCACGCCCAAAATCTATGGTTGGAGCTGCAGCATCTTGAGCCCACCGAGGCAACTCCACAAGGTGAGGGGCACTGGACATCGGGGCAGATCATCTGGGGAGGGCAGGCTCACGGGCTGGAGTTCCCTTAAAGGCGGTGGCATCTTTCCTGTCTGCCCAAAGTCACAGGAAAGCCAGGTGTGTGAGTCAATCTGTTTCTTTCTCCTGCTCCAGGTCTACGCCCCGAGCTCCAGAGCTCTCCAGAGACAGAGGAAGGGCCTGCTCAGGGGCCAGAGCCTGGTCCAAGGAGAGGCCCTGACCTGGCCTGGCCTGGCCCGAGGCAGTACCTCAAGCCATTATGGAGCCAGCTACTGGCTGTGCTGGAAGGCTTCTCTAGTGCTGTCAGAAGAGTTCTAGGCGATTATCTGAAATAATTAAGAGGAATACATTCCAACTGTACATTTTTAATAGTAAATAATGACAATTTTTAAAAGTACCTACCTATTTATGTAGACTATTTCCCATTAAGTTAAGTACTCTTTTTGAATAAAAAAGTTGTTGATTAAAAACACGTGTATACCATGTCTACTCTTGTACCTATACATAATCCCATACACACACACACACACACACACACACACATGTGTACACATATATGCTGGCATGGAAGGATGCTCACTGTATAATACAGTTTTAAAATAAGTTTTGAAACATTTAATTCTTTTCTGATAACTATGTATACACTGATAAAATGGGGAAATAAAATCTGGAAAAATATACACCAAAATGTTAACACTAGTGAACTGTCAGAAGTGAAACTACTAGAAGTGACAGTTTCCTCTCATTTTGCTTCATGTGTAGGTTCTGGTTGACACAAGGATCATACCTCCAATATATAGATAGACAGTAGAGAGAGGAAGGGAGAGGCAGAGATACATAGAGGAGAGGCACATCAGCCGCCTCCTGCCCACCCCCGACATGGAATTGACCGCAAAACCCTGCCATGTGCCCTCCCTGGGAACTGATCCGGAAACCTTTCAGTGCAAGGGGAGATGCCCATCTACTGAGCCACATCAGCCGGGGTTAGACTCAATATATATGTTAGAAATACACTTTGATTGATTTCAGGGAGGGAGAAGGGGCGAGACAGAGACGTAAATGATGAGATTGAAGCATTGATCGGTTGCCTCCTTCACGACCCCTATTGGTGATCCAGTCTGCAACCCGGGCCTGTGCCCTGACCCGGAATCACACCAACTGTGCACTCCTGCCCGGTTGGACCACTGGGCGACACTGGCCAGACTCAATCAAACCTTTCTAAACTTTCCCAAGTGCCAATTTGCATCTTGAAATGTTCTCATGAAAGCAAAATTCACTTAATGGGGGGCATCCTAGTTCCCTCGCTGTTTAGCTGGATTTGCTATTTGGCCAGAAACAGCCACTAGACTAGCTCTTCACCATATTTAAAATCACTAGGGAGCGAAAGAGCATTGCTTTGGTTGCAACAGGAGTAACTCAAAACAACTCCCTCCACTAAACACTTCCTTAATCATTTCCCTTCCTCCATGAGCCCAGAATTTAACTCACCAGTCCAACTCAGCTTAGGAAGAGGCAATGGTTCCAGTGGAACAGGACGGTCCGGAAACAAGGTACACAGCCCTGGTTCTACAGGAAGGGCCATAGTTCACTGACACCACCACTGCAACAATCTATAATTAAAATGAAAAGCATCATGTCAGAAAATTCTAAGCAGAAAAGGACAAAGGAATGCCACTGGTGAGTATTTCCAAAGGAGGCACGCTGTGCAAGAGGGATCCATTCAGTGCGGTGGCCCAACCATCCAAAGCTCATCGTTCGCATGTGAACACTCTTGCTCTGAGGGGAGACACATTTCCTTTCTTTCATTTCATATTTGCTTTCAAGGCAAACCAGCTGGTCAATACACCAAGCCAACACTCCTCAGCTATCCAACAAGAGACACCTAAACGTCTCAGTGAATTTTAAGTTTTACTAAATTTGAATGAATAAAAGTTTCATTTTAAAGTGACATGTGGCTGCCGGGCTGGTGTGGCTCAGTGCTTGAGCGTCGACCCCAGAACCAAGGGATCCCCGATTCATTCCCAGTCAGGGCCAGTACCGGGGTTGCACGCTAGGGGCTATGTGACCGAAGATGCTCTCTCATCATTGGTGTTTCTCTCTCCCCTTCGCCAGCCTCCTCACTCCACCCCTTAGTCCCTAACGCCCCCGCTGTCTTTGTTCCCTTTCCCTTCGTCTCTCTGAGATCAACTAAAACATATACGTCTAACAAGTTATATGTGGATAATATAGACCCTATGAGACAGGGAACTTCAAGACACTAGGAAACCGTTGTGAAACAGTCATCCCTGAATGTCTGGACACCTTTCCTCCACAAGTCCACACAGAAGAAATGTACGGGGCCATTAGTGATCCCAGTAGAAACAGGAAGCTCACCAGAAATGGGAAGCTCACCATCCCACATGTCCCCACTGCTCTTCCCCCTCACCACCTCCTCCTGGGCTGAGGCACCTCCTTCAGGAGCAGTTTGACACAAAACTGCCCCATGTCCCTTGCAATTCGGCCTGTTCTGCCCAAGGTTCAAGCAAGAGTCTCATAGTTGATTTCTGAGACACTATTTTCCTCTCTGATATAAAGCACAAGAGCGAAGAGAGGACTTTTCTTCCTCTCGTTGATGCTGGGAGCTTACCCTGACATCATTGAGCAGCTGAATTCAATACTGGATCCACCTACCTGTGCACTTGTTATTTTGTGAGAAAGACAAATCCCTACTGTTAGCTTCATCACTATTCTGCTGCCTATAATTCTCAGCTTGCACACTGAATGAGATCCTTAACACTCCTGAGGGTGGACAAGGTTGTAGCATTGCATGGTATTGCAAAAAACAACAACAACAACAACAACAAAAACGCAAACAAAAACAAAAAACTATGGGAGCAGAGAGCAAAGATGGGAGGTGCCTGAAAGAACACCAGACTTCCACCGACTCCAGAGGGAGACGTTGGGACACAGGGCATGGCACAGCTCTAAGCTGGGCTGGGAGGGTGTGATGCCAATCAGGATCTCAAAGTGTGACCACAGAGAAGGGGTGAGGGAGAGACACGACTGCCAAAGAAGCTAAGGTCAGATCATAGAGGGCCTGGACGGACACACTAAGGATTAGGGACTCATTTCTAAAGGCCATAGGAGACCACTGTTAGTTTTCATAAGAGACATGATCATATTTACATTTTCAAAAGATCCTTCGGGCTGCCGGCAGAGAATGCTTAGGGACCCGGCGATACTAGAGGTTGACAGCTCACAGAGAACACCTGGTATCAGGAGGCCCTGAAGTCAATGTGGCTTAGTACTCTGGGTGCTAAGCTGGATGGCTTCACACTAGAATCATTGTATGAGGAATGTCAAGGTTGAAATCTATCCCACTCATGCGACTTGACAGGTTGTGTCTAGAAGTTATAATAAAGTAGCACAATATGCCGTATCTTTTCTCAGACCAAGACACTCTCAGAGTAAAGTGGAGAACTTACCTAAACCAAGATTTACTAAAGTGCTAAGGAAACGGGTGGGGACTCAGCTTCAAGACAGAACAACAGGTCAGTGGCACAGACAGAGACGCACACACAGAGAGAAAGCCAGAGAGAGGCTGAGAGGAAGGAAGGGACCTCAAGAACGAGAGCACAAGACAAGTGACAGGACCTGACACCCCATCAGCTGGGCTGTCCTATTTGTTGTTCAGAAGCCAGTTACTGAGCACTCAGCGGATACACAAGGATGTTCCCACCAGGAGGCTGGACTCCCTCGAAGCCACTGTGAAGGCCCCTAACGCTTGGACCCACATGAGGCACTTGTCCGAGGCTAAGTTTAACAAGAGACTACGGTGAGGTTTTAGGCCAGTGAGTGACCATATCTGAATTTCCTGACATTTCAAACCCTTAAAGGTACAGACTTGAAAATGAGGCCCACATGAGCAGTGACTTCCCTGAGATCACAGGCTGGGCCCAGGGCGCTTTTGTCTAGTGTTCCATGCTGTGTCCCACTCATTCTTGTCATCTTCCACCTCTATGTTTGAATACCAGATTCATGGGACACCAGCCCACAGCTGTTAGGGGCCTTGTCCCATCTGCACCTGATGACGTCCTATGGAAATGGTGTCTAGCATCATCCTCAATGGGCAGCTTGGGAGCCTGGGGGAGGCCCTGTGAGGCACAGAGGCTTCCCCCAGTGCACAGAACACCTAAGAAAAAGGAGGTGTGAACTGGGCATTCTCCCCCAAACTGGGGGCCTCATTCTTCCCAGGGAGCTTGGGGGAAGGGCTGTGTTGGATGCTTGTATACAGGTATGGAGATAACATGGGCCCGGAAGGTGAGAGGTCAGGAGCCCAGAGGGGCCTCTGGGTGGCTCTGATTGGAGGAAGGGGCACAGGTCATGGAACCTTGAAGGGGTGACCTCACTTCCCTGGGGACAGATCCCCAACAGAAATGGGAACCGTGGTAACCAGGTACCCACATTCTAGAGACAACTGCCTTTCCAGGTCACTTGAGTGGAGAAAGTCAGACCACCAGGATGTCTTTCTGTTCTTCCTGCGCTCTGGGCAGAAGAAAGCCCAGAGTGAGAGATGTTTGAGATGTTTCTCTTGCTGCAGAAACAGGCGCAAGCGCCACCACCGATACCCCTCGCCCTCTGGCACGAGGCATACACAGGTAACCGAGGGCAGGCCCTTTCAGGTCACACTTGTCACACCTGGGGAGCCCCACACCTCTTACCCCTCATCCCGTTGGTGTCCCGTTGGTGTGTGTGTGTGTGTGTGTGTGTGTGTGTGTGTGTGTCCCCGGAATGGTGAGGGGATGAGGATGAGGGATGCTAATCCGGGCTCAGGAGCAGGTTGGTAAGTGTCCGAAGCCTGGAGGGTGTCCGAAGCCTGGAGGGTGTAGGAGGGTGTGTCATGTTCACTGCCCAGGTAAGCTTAGTGCGGGGGTCAGAGCTCAGCTACACACTTGTTAATCGCAGGGGTGCTCAAGAGGTCATCAACTTCACTCCCTGCCTGGAGGTCTTTGCAGATGGCCCTCTCTGCCTGATCTGGGGAGCAGAGTGGGTGGTGGGCACCTTTCCCATTGGTAATGCCCGGGCCCCTGATGCCTCCTGGCCCGGTAGCGGGCTGTGTCTTTGCAGAGCTCCAACAAGGGCAGGGTAGAGGAGCTGGCGGACAGGTTCACTTATGCCCTCAACCGGTACAAAGGACAAGTGCGTCAGGACAGGGAAACCGTCCAGTGCCAAACTGAGGTGAGAGCTGGCCCACACCCAGGACCCTGAGGTGACTGGGGTGGGACCAGAAGTCAGACTCAAATCTGGGGCCTCAAATTTCTCACAGGCCCACTCCCAAAGTGATCTGTACCTTCAATCCTCCCGACCAGGTCCGTGGTAGGGGAGAAAAGCAGTCTTTCTTCCTGTGCTTGTTGGGATCAGAGGGAAACATTTGCTGCTGTCTTTGCCTCATGCTCCTTTCAATTGATGAACTCCCTGCCCCAAGTATCCTGTGGACCAGCCCCAGCCCGACTGTACTTGTAGACCTTCTCCAAGTCTTACACATCATCCCACTTGATAATGCTGTGTACTTAAAAAAAAGAGAGAGAGTGGGGGGTAAGCAGGGGGGGCAGTTAGGGGCGTAGGAAGGGATTAAGGTCTTGAATACTTTTCTCTGCAACCTATCACCTCACAGAGGATGACAAACCATTGCAGAGCGGCCAGGTCAGGAGCTGTGGCCTTACCCAACTCCATATCATCCCAACGAAGGACAGAGTTTTCATCAGTGATTCAGGCTTTCACTGTGGCTACACCTTGACACAAATCAATTCTTGCTAGCTCAGCAGGGCTGCCAGGAACATCCTCCCCGTGTCCTCATAGACTAGGTCTGCCATGACACAGGACCACAGATTGGGTGGAAGGTTCCTGATGCTTCCTGGCTCAGTACCCACTCTGTCTTTGCAGAGCTCCAAGGAGGACATCATTGAGGTGCTGGCCCATGGACCCGACTACACCACCTACGGGGTCAGGGTGCAGGTGCACCAGGCTGACGACACAGACCAGTGCCTGTCTGAGGTGAGAGCTGGCCTTGAGGGTCTCTACACCCACAACCCCAACACAACCTGGCAGTGCCCAGAACCCACACTCACATCTGGGGACTCCCCGGGCACCCTCCCAGGACTCTCTCTAGTGTCCCACAGCCCCAAGAGAAAGAAATGCTGACCCCCACGACTCCCTCCAGCTACGTGGGACGGTAGAGAGATGCTCCTCACATATTTGTAGAAATATCAGAGAGAGAAATGTTGTTTGACTTCACAGTGGACCATGAGCACTTGGGCATTTCGCTGTTTGTGTTGCTAAAAACTACACTTGCCACATATCCTCTGGAGCACTCAGCTCCACTGTCCTTGCAGACATGGTCCAATCGGGGAGGTCGTTTGACCAGCGATGCACCCTTTCAGTGCTGTTGGACATGGGCCTAATGCAGTTCAGCTGCCATGTCAGCAGTGCTGCCCGGAACACTGATGTGTGTCGGAATGGACTGTTAGGTTGCTTGCTTGGGCTGCCATAACCTAGGACCACACTGGGTGGTGTTCACAGCAGACATTCATTTTCTCACAATTCCGGAGGCTAGAAGTGAGAGATGGTGCTGTCAGCGGGGCTGGTATCTCCTGAGGGGGTCGCTCCTCAGCTTGTAGATGGCTGTCTTCTCTCTGTGTGTCACATGGACTCCCCTCTGCACTGCCACGTGTCCTCCCCTCCTCTTCTAAGGACACTGGTCAGATTAGATGAAGACCCACATCACTGAATTCACGTCACCTGAATGACTTGCTTGAAGACTAAAACTCAAATGCAGACACATCATAAAGTTCTAGGGCTTGCAAAGTCATGGGATTAGGGGTACACAATTCAGACCACAGTACATGTGATGTCCCCAGCTAGAGATGGACGCCCACTGCTGGTGGAAGGACGAGCACATGTAAAATTTTAAGGGCTGCAGGCAGATTCCAAACCCAAAGGGCTGTGGCAGGGACCTTGCCAACAGCAGTTTCTGATGATGGCTGCTGCCTTGCTCCCAGCCTGGCCCGGGAAATCTCACTCATTGAAATTTTCACGTGGCCGACGTCAAGTTGTCCAACTCAAACACAGTGTTCCTTCCCTGGCCTTGGCCTCATGGGGACCCTGAGGCACCTGTCACTTTTCCCCCACCACATGGATTAGCTCCTCCTCCCCGAGTCCTCTGGTCTGATTCCTGCCCCGTGATCGCCTTTCTCCCATCTACAGTCTCCAGGCATTTGCCACCTTGCGGAACCTGTGATCTCCATAATGAGGGTCTGAAAATGCCCTTGAATGTAAAAGGATAAAACATAACTTTCTCTTTTGAAGTCAAAGGCTTTCATAGGCCATGTCTACCCTGTACACTGTTCCCACGCTGGGGAGGGGAAATGTTCCCACACCCTTTCCACCCATGTCAGCATCAGGTAAGTCTCGGGTACCTGAGAGGGAATGTCATGCAGGACAGTACCCAGTTCTGACCTGCATGCCCTTGAGCAGACATCTGATATTTCCTAAGCAAGCCTCTGTGTTCTCATCTGTATAACGAGGACGTTTCTTGAGGACTCACAGGGCCCGGGCTCTGCATTTGGACTATTACTACTAGGAGGTTTGTTGATCCTCAGCTGTTGGGAAGGGGGGAAGAAAAAAACATGCCGAGAAGGTGGCAATTGTATGAACATGCACGGAAATTCAGTGGCACTTTGAAGACCTAGAACCTCGTCCAGCCGGGGCACTCCTGTCCCGCCTCTTGCACACGTGCCAGTGGGGCTGGGACCTCCCGAGTGAGCTCCAAACCTCCATCCTTGTGGGATTCACGGTCATGCCGCTGACATGGATGTCCTTCCTTCTCCCACCCAGTGTGCAGCTGAGCGAACTGGTAACCTGCATGAGTCCTGCAGGATGCAGGCCCTCCAGGAAGGCACCTCGGAGAAGGTGGCCATGGCCATGGGACCAGCTTTCCCGGGGGGAATCGTCCCCCACGTCTCCACGCTGGCCTTCTCCAGAGCCCAACGCTTCCTGGACGAGCTTCTAACTAGGTGAGCACACACTCGTGACTCTGCCCACTGCTAGCTGTGAGGCTTGAAACGTCACCACATCTTCCCGAGTCTCAGGATGCTCCTCTGAAAAGTGGGCTGCTGGGGGGTCAACCTCATAGCACTGCTGTGGGGTCAAGCCATGGCAGGTCTCACCTGCTCCCTGGCTCTGCAGACAGGGTAGCTGGACGTGCGGCGGTTGTTGGTGGCAATTCTTTCACTCTGTCCCACGGAAAGAACTCTGACACACCCATCAGCGGCCTGTGGCATCGGAGGGTGGAAAAGCACATGGAAAGCAACCTGTTAAGCAGTGTGAGATGTCACCTAGCCGGTCCTGGTCCTTGGTGTAGCCACACTGGGGATTTCTGGGGAGAGCAGGGGCCCAGGCCCACTCAGATGTATGGCATGCTTCTCATTGGAGTTTCTTTACTCGACAATGCGCATGCACATTTGGAGACACTTAGCCTGACTCAACGAATGAAGCAGACACAATCCCTGGGCCTCAGTTCTGGGCAATGGGTCCAGCAGTCACGCTGTCCACCATTCGCAGGTCGTGTCCACCATCCATCAGGGCTGATGCCATCAGAGTGTTTTTTCCATCTGGAGGCACACCTGCTTACAATGACCGGGGTGACACACCGCAAGCCCAAGTCATAAAGTGAGTGGTCTCCGGGTCCAGAAGTAGGGCCCCCAGAGTCAGCATAGTGGGTACTGTGTTGGTGGGGGGGGTGCCTGGCAGAACCCTAATCTCATACATCATCTAATTCCCAAGAAAGGCCTGAGCTCTGGAGTCTTCTATTCCAGGAGGACAGGAGTCAAAGACGACAGTGGGTGGGGTCCCGGGCCTTGTAGTACCAGAGGGAATGCTGGGCTGAGTTGTCCCTCAGAGTCCCCTCCCCCCCACAGACCCACCCCGCTCTGCCTGCCCCTCTCCATATGCATCTCCCCTGACCACCCTGGTGAGGCTCAGAACAGAATTGTGGTGAGCAGGCTGCTCACAAGTCTGTCTCAGTCCTCAGCCCAGATGCCCAGGGTCTGGAGGGTGGGGCTGGGCAGTGTACTGGACCTTCAGGAGAGCTGCCAGTGGGAAGAAGAGTCTCACCCAGACTCCGTGTTGAACCTGCTGGATCCCACACCTGCTACAACCAGGACAGCCCCACAGGGGCCGGGGGTGGCATGGGGCTGTGCCCTGGGTGGGCAAGGGGGGCTTGCACAGAGGCTCCGATCTAAGCCAGTGTGCCATGGGAGGGCAGAGTGAAAGGAAAGACCAGGACTCAGACTCTGCTGCCCACCTGCCTCTCCCCAGGGCCTTTGCTGCGATGGTGGGGACCTGGCTGGACCAGGTCCAGGGTTTGGGGCAGCCCCTCCCTTTCGCCTGTTTCGAGGCAGAGCACGCCTTGGTGCCCGTCAACTCCCCTGCCTCACACCTGGTGTGCCACGCCCAAAATCTATGGTTGGAGCTGCAGCATCTTGAGCCCACCGAGGCAACTCCACAAGGTGAGGGGCACTGGACATCGGGGCAGATCATCTGGGGAGGGCAGGCTCACGGGCTGGAGTTCCCTTAAAGGCGGTGGCATCTTTCCTGTCTGCGCAAAGTCACAGGAAAGCCAGGTGTGTGAGTCAATCTGTCTCTTTCTCCTGCTCCAGGTCCACGCCCCGAGCTCCAGAGCTCTCCAGAGACGGAGGAAGGGCCTGCTCAGGGGCCAGAGCCTGGTCCAAGGAGAAGCCCTGCCCTGGCCTGGCCTGGCCCGAGGCAGTACCTCAAGCCATTATGGAGCCAGCTACTGGCTGTGCTGGAAGGCTTCTCTAGTGCTGTCAGAAGAGTTCTAGGCGATTATCTTAAATAATTAAGAGGAATACATTCCAACTGTACATTTTTAATAGTAAATAATGATAATTTTTAAAAGTACCTACCTATTTATGTAGACTATTTCCCATTAAGTACTCTTTTGTTAATAAAAAAGTTGTTAACACGTGTATACCATGTCTACTCTTGTACCTATACATAATCCTAATCCCATACACACACACACACACACACACACACACATGTGTACACATATATGCTGACATGGAAGGATGCTCACTGTATAATACAGTTTTAAAATCAGTTTTGAAACATCTGATAACTATGTATACACTGATAAAATGGGGAAATAAAATCTGGAAAAATATACACCAAAATGTTAACACTAGTGAACTGTCAGAAGTGAAACTACTAGAAGTGACAGTTTCCTCTCATGTTGCTTCATGTGTAGGTTCTGGTTGACACAAGGATCATACCTCCAATATATAGATAGACAGTAGAGAGAGGAAGGGAGAGGCAGAGATACATAGAGGATAGGCACATCAGCCGCCTCCTGCCCACCCCCGACATGGAATTGACCGCAAAACCCTGCCATGTGCCCTCCCTGGGAACTGATCCGGAAACCTTTCAGTGCAAGGGGAGATGCCCATCTACTGAGCCACATCAGCCGGGGTTAGACTCAATATATATGTTAGAAATACACTTTGATTGATTTCAGGGAGGGAGAAGGGGCGAGACAGAGACGTAAATGATGAGATTGAAGCATTGATCGGTTGCCTCCTTCACGACCCCTATTGGTGATCCAGTCTGCAACCCGGGCCTGTGCCCTGACCCGGAATCACACCAACTGTGCACTCCTGCCCGGTTGGACCACTGGGCGACACTGGCCAGACTCAATCAAACCTTTCTAAACTTTCCCAAGTGCCAATTTGCATCTTGAAATGTTCTCATGAAAGCAAAATTCACTTAATGGGGGGCATCCTAGTTCCCTCGCTGTTTAGCTAGATTTGCTATTTGGCCAGAAACAACCACTAGACTAGCTCTTCACCATATTTAAAATCACTAGGGAGCGAAAGAGCATTGCTTTGGTTGCAACAGGAGTAACTCAAAACAACTCCCTCCACTAAACACTTCCTTAATCATTTCCCTTCCTCCATGAGCCCAGAATTTAACTCACCAGTCCAACTCAGCTTAGGAAGAGGCAATGGTTCCACTGGAACAGGACGGTCCGGAAACAAGGTACACAGCCCTGGTTCTACCGGAAGGCCATAGTTCACTGACACCACCACTGCACAATCTATAATTAAAATGAAAAGCATCATGTCAGAAAATTCTAAGCAGAAAAGGACAAAGGAATGCTACTGGTGAGTATTTCCAAAGGAGGCACGCTGTGCAAGAGGGATCCATTCAGTGCGGTGGCCCAACCATCCAAAGCTCATCGTTCTCATGTGAACACTCTTGCTCTGAGGGGAGACACATTTCCTTTCTTTCATTTCATATTTGCTTTCAAGGCAAACCAGCTGGTCAATACACCAAGCCAACACTCCTCAGCTATCCAACAAGAGACACCTAAACGTCTCAGTGAATTTTAAGTTTTACTAAATTTGAATGAATAAAAGTTTCATTTTAAAGTGACATGTGGCTGCCGGGCTGGTGTGGCTCAGTGCTTGAGCGTCGACCCCAGAACCAAGGGATCCCCGTTTCATTCCCAGTCAGGGCCAGTACCGGGGTTGCAGGCTAGGGGCTATGTGACCAAAGATGCTCTCTCATCATTGATGTTTCTCTCTCCCCTTCGCCAGCCTCCTCACTCCACCCCTTAGTCCCTAACGCCCCCGCTGTCTTTGTTCCCTTTCCCTTCGTCTCTCTGAGATCAACTAAAACATATACGTCTAACAAGTTATATGTGGATAATATAGACCCTATGAGACAGGGAACTTCAAGACACTAGGAAACCGTTGTGAAACAGCCATCCCTGAATGTCTGGACACCTTTCCTCCACAAGTCCACACAGAAGAAATGTACGGGGCCATTAGTGATCCCAGTAGAACAGGAAGCTCACCAGAAATGGGAAGCTCACCATCCCACATGTCCCCACTGCTCTTCCCCCTCACCACCTCCTCCTGGGCTGAGGCACCTCCTTCAGGAGCAGTTTGACACAAAACTGCCCCATGTCCCTTGCAATTCGGCCTGTTCTGCCCAAGGTTCAAGCAAGAGTCTCATAGTTGATTTCTGAGACACTATTTTCCTCTCTGATATAAAGCACAAGAGCGAAGAGAGGACTTTTCTTCCTCTCGTTGATGCTGGGAGCTTACCCGGACATCACTGAGATGCTCAATTCAATACTGGATCCACCTACCTGTGCACTTGTTATTTTGTGAGAAAGACAAATCCCTACTGTTAGCTTCATCACTATTCTGCTGCCTATAATTCTCACCTTGCACACTGAATGAGATCCTTAACACTCCTGAGGGTGGACAAGGTTGTAGCATTGCATGGTATTGCAAAAAACAACAACAACAACAACAAAAACGCAAACAAAAACAAAAAACTATGGGAGCAGAGAGCAGGACAGGGGAAAGATGGGAGGTGCCTGAAAGAACACCAGACTTCCACCGACTCCAGAGGGAGACGTTGGGACACAGGGCATGGCACAGCTCTAAGCTGGGCTGGGAGGGTGTGATGCCAATCAGGATCTCAAAGTGTGACCACAGAGAAGGGGTGAGGGAGAGACACGACTGCCAAAGAAGCTAAGGTCAGATCATAGAGGGCCTGGACGGACACGCTAAGGATTAGGGACTCATTTCTAAAGGCCATAGGAGACCACTGTTAGTTTTCATAAGAGACATGATCATATTTACATTTTCAAAAGATCCTTCGTGCTGCCGGCAGAGAATGCTTAGGGACCCGGCGATACTAGAGGTTGACAGCTCACAGAGAACACATGGTATCAGGAGGCCCTGAAGTCAATGTGGCTTAGTACTCTGGGTGCTAAGCTGGATGGCTTCACACTAGAATCATTGTATGAGGAATGTCAAGGTTGAAATCTATCCCACTCATGCGACTTGACAGGTTGTGTCTAGAAGTTATAATAAAGTAGCACAATATGCCGTATCTTTTCTCAGACCAAGACACTCTCAGAGTAAAGTGGAGAACTTACCTAAACCAAGATTTACTAAAGTGCTAAGGAAACGGGTGGGGACTCAGCTTCAAGACAGAACAGCAGGTGAGTGGCACAGACTGAGACGCACACACAGAGAGAAAGCAAGAGAGATGCTGAGAGGAAGGAAGGGACCTCAAGAACGAGAGCACAAGACAAGTGACAGGACCTGACACCCCATCAGCTGGGCTGTCCTATTTGTTGTTCAGAAGCCAGTTACTGAGCACTCAGCGGATACACAAGGATGTTCCCACCAGGAGGCTGGACTCCCTCGAAGCCACTGTCAAGGCCCCTAACGCTTGCACCCACATGAGGCACTTGTCCGAGGCTAAGTTTAACAAGAGACTACGGTGAGGTTTTAGGCCAGTGAGTGACCATATCTGAATTTCCTGACATTTCCAACCCTTAAAGGTACAGACTTGAAAATGAGGCCCACATGAGCAGTGACTTCCCTGAGATCACAGGCTGGGCCCAGGGCGCTTTTGTCTAGTGTTCCATGCTGTGTCCCACTCATTCTTGTCATCTTCCACCTCTATGTTTGCATACCAGATTCATGGGACAGCAGCCCACAGCTGTTAGGGGCCTTGTCCCATCTGCACCTGATGACGTCCTATGGAAATGGTGTCTAGCATCATCCTCAATGGGCAGCTTGGGAGCCTGGGGGAGGCCCTGTGAGGCACAGAGGCTTCCCCCAGTGCACACAACACCTAAGAAAAAGGAGGTGTGAACTGGGCTTTCTCCCCCAAACTGGGGGCCTCATTCTTCCCAGGGAGCTTGGGGGAAGGGCTGTGTTGGATGCTTGTATACAGGTATGGAGATAACATGGGCCCGGAAGGTGAGAGGTCAGGAGCCCAGAGGGCCTCTGGGTGGCTCTGATTGGAGGAAGGGGCACAGGTCATGGAACCTTGAAGGGGTGACCTCACTTCCCTGGGGACAGATCCCCAACAGAAATGGGAACCGTGGTAACCAGGTACCCACATTCTAGAGACAACTGCCTTTCCAGGTCACTTGAGTGGAGAAAGTCAGACCACCAGGATGTCTTTCTGTTGCTTCCCGTTCTTCCTGCGCTCTGGGCAGAAGAAAGCCCAGAGTGAGAGATGTTTCTCTTGCTGCAGAAACAGGCGCAAGCGCCACCACCGATACCCCTCGCCCTCTGGCACGAGGCATACACAGGTAACCGAGGGCAGGCCCTTTCAGGTCACACTTGGGCGCCAACTGGGGGTCACACCTGGGGAGCCCCACACCTCTTACCCCTCATCCCGTTGTTGTGTGTGTGTGTGTGTGTGTGTCCCCGGAATGGTGAGGGGAAAGCGGGGGATGAGGGATGCTCATCCGGGCTCAGGAGCAGGTTGGTAAGTGTCAGAAGCCTGGAGGGTGTAGGAGGGTGTGTCATGTTCACTGCCCAGGTCATGGCTCACAGGAAGGGAAGCTTAGTGCGGGGGTCAGAGCTCAGCTACACACTTGTTAATCGCAGGGGTGCTCAAGCGGTCATCAACTTCACTGGAGGTCTTTGCAGATGGCCCTCTCTGCCTGATCTGGGGAGCAGAGTGGGTGGTGGGCATCTTTCCCATTGGTAATGCCCGGGCCCCTGATGCCTCCTGGCACGGTAGCGGGCTGTGTCTTTGCAGAGCTCCAACAAGGGCAGGGTAGAGGAGCTGGCGGACAGGTTCACTTATGCCCTCAACCGGTACAAAGGACAAGTGCGTCAGGACAGGGAAACCGTCCAGTGCCAAACTGAGGTGAGAGCTGGCCCACACCCAGGACCCTGAGGTGACTGGGGTGGGACCAGAAGTCAGACTCAAATCTGGGGCCTCAAATTTCTCACAGGCCCACTCCCAAAGTGATCTGTACCTTCAATCCTCCCGACCAGGTCCGTGGTAGGGGAGAAAAGCAGTCTTTCTTCCTGTGCTTGTTGGGATCAGAGGGAAAGCATTTGCTGCTGTCTTTGCCTCATGATCCTTTCAATTGATGAACTCCCTGCCCCAAGTATCCTGTGGACCAGCCCCAGCCCGACTGTACTGGTAGACCTTCTCCAAGTCTTACACATCATCCCACTTGATAATGCTGTGTACTTAAAAAAAGAGAGAGAGTGGGGGGTAAGCAGGGGGGGGCAGTTAGGGGTGTAGGAAGGGATTAAGGTCTTGAATACTTTTCTCTGCAACCTATCACCTCACAGAGGATGACAAACCATTGCAGCGCGGCCAGGTCAGGAGCTGTGGCCTTACCCAACTCCATATCATCCCAACGAAGGACAGAGTTTTCATCAGTGATTCAGGCTTTCACTGTGGCTACACCTTGACACAAATCAATTCTTCCTAGCTCACCAGGGCTGCCAGGAACATCCTCCCCGTGTCCTCATAGACTAGGTCTGCCATGACACAGGACCACAGATTGGGTGGAAGGTTCCTGATGCTTCCTGGCTCAGTACCCACTCTGTCTTTGCAGAGCTCCAAGGAGGACATCATTGAGGTGCTGGCCCATGGACCCGACTACACCACTACGGGGTCAGGGTGCAGGTGCACCAGGCTGACGACACAGACCAGTGCCTGTCTGAGGTGAGAGCTGGCCTTGAGGGTCTCTACACCCACAACCCCAACACAACCTGGCAGTGCCCAGAACCCACACTCACATCTGGGGACTCCCCGGGCACCCTCCCAGGACTCTCTCTAGTGTCCCACAGCCCCAAGAGAAAGAAATGCTGACCCCCACGACCCCCTCCATGGGACGGTAGAGAGACGCTCCTCACATATTTGTAGAAATATCAGAGAGAGAAACGTTGTTTGACTTCACAGTGGACCATGAGCACTTGGGCATTTCGCTGTTTGTGTTGCTAAAAACTACACTTGCCACGTATCCTCTGGAGCACTCAGCTCCACTGTCCTTGCAGACATGGTCTAATCGGGGAGGTCGTTTGACCAGCGATGCACCCTTTCAGTGTTGTTGGACATGGGCCTAATGCAGTTCATCTGCCATGTCAGCAGTGCTGCCCGGAACACTGATGTGTGTCGGAATGGACTGTTAGGTTGCTTGCTTGGGCTGCCATAACCTAGGACCACACTGGGTGGTGTTAACAGCAGACATTCATTTTCTCACAATTCCGGA